GGCTGTGGGGTGCTGGGGGGAGGACGTGGGGAGGAAGCAGGAGGAAAAGAGACAGGAAAAGGAAATTTTCCATGCCTGGGGGAGGGAAGGGCTCTGCATGGAGCACAGCTGGCTCCTCATCTCTTCATTCTCCAGGAACAGAGGAGCTTTTCATTCTGGAAAAGCCTCTGAGGAAGGGCTCAGCTCTCTCCAAGGAGCAGGAACGGCCTGGGCTGACATTGCTGAGAGAGAGGTGTCACATTCATATTTTCTGAAAAATCCATTCACCCAGGATTTTTCTCCTGGGAAGCTGAGAATCCTCAGAGAAAAATGAAAATATAATAATCAAACTCGTAACTCTTTCCAGAGTCCTGACACAGCCTGGCCCTGATTGGCAATGAGTGAAAATAACTCAGAGCAAAAACTAATCAAACAATCACCTGTGGGTAAACAATCTCCAAACACATTCCACATGAGCACAACACAGAGAAGCAAATGAGATAAGAATTGTTTTCCTTTTTCTCTGAGGCTTCTCAGCTTCCCAGGAGAAAAATCCTGGGCAAAGGGATTTTTCCAGAGAATGTGAGTGCCACAATCCTTTTAATAAATCCCTGCTTTATTCTTGAGCTCAGCCTAGTCTCAGTTCTAGCTCAGCCTTCCCAAGGCATCACTGGTCAGTCCTGAGCGTTCTGGAAAGGGAGGAAATTCGGGAATGATCCTCCTGAGCCCCAGATCCCAACTGTGGAAAGCAGAGCTGTGCAGCATTTCCATGGTGATAATGGGAATTTTCACCAGCAGAAACAGCCCTGATCCCCAGAGCTGCTCCTGGGTGTGTCCCAGCACCTCCCTCCTGCCCCTGACTGAATCCTGGCCTTATTTTTTGCAAGAATTATTTTGCAAGAATTAACCTTGCAAACCCCAGCCCTGTGGGGTTTTTGGGTCATTTTTATGCACGTTTTTGGGGTCACTATTATGCACATTTCTTCTCCCCACACACCTGGGCTACTGCAGGCTTTGAGGAAGGAAAATAATCCAAAAAGAATCATTTGGGATGGAGACATCCCCAGCTGAAATTCCCCCCTGGAAGCCTTTTCATTGTTAATTATGAGCAGCATGGGTTTTAATTCTGAGCGTGTTTTGGTGTTAAAACCTGCTTTTGTTTCCAACCTTTTTCATTTTTCCTGGGTTTTAAATTTTTGTTTTGTGTTTCTGTTTAACCCTCACAAATCTCCAGGCGCTCAGAGCTCCCTTTGTGCCCCAGGAGCAGAGCAGCTGAGAAATCAAAGCTGTGCTGCTGCTTTTACCAGCGGGACTGGGGGGACAAGGGACAAAATCAGGACTCTGGGGTGGTGGGGAGCCCTGCCCTGGGCACTGCTGCCAGCTGATGTCTTTTGGGGGATCTGTGTGGTTTTGGGGGGATTTATGTCTTTTGGGGATGATTTATGTCTTTTTGGGGGGGATTTATGTCTTTTTTTGGGGGGATTTATGTCTTTTTTTGGGGGATTTATGTCCTTTTTGAAGGACTTAGGTCTTTTTTGGGGGGAATTCATGTCTTTTTTTTGGGGGGATTCATGTCTTTTTTGGGGGGGATTCATGTCTTTTTGGGGGATTTATGTCTT